ATACAAGTAAGCGCTTACTACATACTGTATTCGTCACGCGTCATTGATCAATCGGCTGCGCAGTTCTATCATCTTCATCTCCTTATCACCACATCATATGACAGTTGACTTGGATTCCGATGGCATGCCAAATCGTCTCTGAAATCATCTAAGTTTGTGAATAGGCCTCTCGATATTTTGACGCTAATTATGGCGGCGCGTCTTTGAAAAAGTGAGCAATAGTTTCCAGTTTCTAGGTGTGCTTGTATTGAGAGTTATAATGTTCCAAAAGAAGCGCATATAAACCGTGCGTATAGAATTGGGCCTGGCATTTCAGTGATGCTGTGTAACTCTAAAAGACATGGGAATCCTCGATGCGAAACTATCGCCACCATCCGCTCCAGAGTCTAATGATCATGCTTGAATAACGTTGCATCGTCACCGGTCGGCATCCTCCTGCCCAGTGTGCCGTGTGGGTGGTCAGATCTATCAGAAAAACAAATCTGGAGGCGGCTTCCGATTCACAAATGCCCAAAAGATAAACTCTGTTCCAGCGGCGCTATAGCCTCTGCTACTGAAACGTCAACAAGATATCCCATTTTTGCGCTTCATGGACCATGTTGGTTAGGCACGAATTTCAAGCTAGTGCGTATCTTGACGATGCCGTAGTCGTCGAAGACAAGACAGTTCAGGACACAGATATTACGATACCTGACCCCTTTGACGTGAATTGCATAAACCAGGCGCGAGAGGACAGTACGACGGGGAGTTTCAAGTTTACGTGTTGGTTTCCAACTAATATCACGATTAGCAGGCATCAACAATCGACGTCGACCAAGCCAGCTGCAACGATTGGCTTGTATCTTCAACGGGAAAAAAAGCCGCTGAGTGTATCCCCTTATAACTGTCAATGAAGAAATAATATCTTAGATAGAGATGACGATGCGTTGTCGGTGCGACTCAAGTCGGTGTAACGAGTTGTGATCGTGTTTCTTTGCTCAAACGCTTGCCTCTCACATTGTACGATGGATAAAAGCTTTTTTTTGGTTCTGTTGGCTAATGGCATCCTTTCTGCACCGTTCCTTCACTTGGCTAGACCCTCAGACTCCTTTGTTCAAGGGCTATCGCCTTTTCTGTTACAGATATGTACGTTATCACAACGTATATATCTGCCTCGTCCTTTGGACACCCATCTTGGTATCTGGTTGACCTGTATAAACTATGCATTAATGGGGTAGTGGTAACCTAGGTCGTTGCCACTGTAACAGCACAGGTCTGCATCGTCGACCCGCCGGGGGTTCGATTCCCCCTTAATGCAGTCCTATGCTCACGCCGGTTCTGTAATGAAGAACATTTTCTGCGTGCAGGTGAACTTTTATACACGTTGGATTTACAATATCATTTTCGTCGCTCAGACGGTTCGCATACATTCATTCCACTTATATAATGTTCCACAGCTCCTCTAACCAACTCTAACCTCCCATTTCAAACGTGTCACAGATCCTTACTCTCTCTGAGCTTGTTGTCGACAACAAATTCGAGTCGCCGGTCGTGGAGTTCACATATTTCGAGAAAAACGTGGATAATTGACAACAAGTATGGTGGACTTTTGAGTTCTTGCTATTTAGCCTCGTCACTGACGTCTGTATAAGCTCGACCCTATGGAATACTACATTGGAATCAAACGCGGAGATATGGATACTATTCTGAATACTGAGGAAACCAGGCCTCAAGGGCAATCCATGACTCGGGAGTCCGGTACGACTTGCCATTCAATATTCAACTCTTAGTGTATGCGCTGAGGTGCTTTATAGGTCGCTCAAATCTTGTGGATTCCTTATTGGGATCACGACCCCTTTGGGCATTAATATGTTCAGGACGGATACGAATCACCACTGCCAATACCTATAGCGCTATCACGTTGAAGGTGAATGGGTCAGGATCGTTAATAGTCCTTGGTCTTCTTTTGAATAAAGGGCCCTGGAATATATGTAAAGTTTATCAAAAGGTATATGATAGATTTCGAACAATGCAAGGCGCGATGGGTCGTTCAACCTGTTGATCCTCAAGACCTTCATGTCTTCCTATAGTCAAGCACGAGCGTTCCACAGAGGCCCCTCGGACAACCTTGGCACCGATGTGTTTAGTTCGTGGGGTTAGTATGCTGGCAAGTACCATCTGAGTCCAAAGGTCACAGTAGTTGCGTAATGCAGCGAGGTTGCGGGGCTTAGTTGGGGCCTGTCATATGTAGTACCGACCACAAGTGAAGCTGTCGCTCTACGTCGCGTCCATGGAAAATCCAAGTGAAGAATATTGTGATTGGTTTATCATATTATTACCCTGACGACTTCGCAGAGCTCCAACGGTGTCGCGTCATAGTCCTGGTGCAAATTCAAGTTTGACGACGAAATTAAGAAAAGACCGATAGCGCTAGGTTGTGAGCTTGTTATCTGCAGCACCCATACCTTCGAGAAATGAGAAGGCCTTTTTCGAGCAGCGATGGAGGCGGGGTGCGTCTTTCCTTCAGCGCTTCAGCAGCGTGATCCATTGCCAGCTAGACTGAAGCACATGAATTGAGTAAGTCTCTGAGCCAATGATTACAATACGTCCGTCAACTTCGGCCTGAGGATCTTGATTTCGCATTGACTTCTGCCTGTCTTTACTCCCGATCCTGTAACCTTCTTTCCGTTGTCACCGTACCGAGTCGAGGCTCGATCGGGCGAAGCCTTGAACTCTTGTCATCGATCACTCAAATTGAAATAACTCTCGGGCCCCAGAGATGTCAAGGACTCGGACCTCAGAGCTGTGTACTCGCGAATCAGCGGCCTGCGGCAATTCATGCTGGTCCTGAGAGTTCCGTCCTCCCGCCGGCCTCTTTTACCGTGGTGGCGAATACGCGTTTAGAGCTAGTTCTTTCAGGTCTAAATTAGGTGCATGCGTCACACTCTCGGAAAACACCTAGAACATTATGCATTTGGAATTTCTCATGATCAGGGCTAATTTGATACATTTTGTTCAAGGATCTCGTATACGAGCCTTTCAACTTGAAACGATGTCATGACTAAATGATGGATTTATATCATTGATTAG